GTAACATAATTGCAATTAAAGGGGCCCTGTAATGCTTTTTGGGGTTTTCCCTTTCCTGTCGTGTTATATAGGTTTTTGTGCATGTTAATGGTCTGCAAAGGCTACAATCCCTGTGTTCCCTACAGAGGGAGTTTCTCTCCCACACCCTCCCCCCCTGCCTGAAACATCTCCATTGGACTCCTTTGTTTACTTCCGTAACATAGTGACATCACTATGTAATACTTGCGCTTCTATTCGCTAGCACAGCACATTGTATGTGAAAATTAGCATTATAGGACCCCTTCCAACAAATTGCAAAACAATTTGGTTATCAGAGAACGTATTATTATCTTCGCAAGATTGTAAAAGTGTGAAACCAGAGAAATTCTTTGTGTTAAAATCACCAAAACTTGTGTGCGTTTGGACGAAAGCAGGCAGGAGTGCCGCTGGAGAGGCTCTCTTACTCTCCAGTCCACCTGCTGCTAAGTGATGCAGACAGAGCTCACACACACACACACACACACACACACACACACACACACACACACACACACACACACACACACACACACACACACACGCTCACCCCTGTAACCCAGCACTCTGCTGATGCAGCAGAATAACAGCCAGTGTGTCTCTCCATCTAAACAGGGTCACTTGAGCATGCAGAGCCACAGAGTGGTGCAACATGACAGATAAGATAAGCGCCGTCCTCCTCTGCTGCTTGAAAGGCTGAGACGCTGCTGATGCTTGCCGGTATAGATATGTGGGGGACCTGACGTCTGTGGTGTTAAGCACATGCCAGATGGAGAGCGTCAGCTCTCTATGTGTGTGTGTGTTAGAGAGAGTGAGATTGTGTGTGTGTGAAAGAGAGGAAGCCATAGTTGAATTTGAATGTGAGAAATCAGAAACACAATACATTACATTACATTTAGCTGACGCTTTTATCCAAAGCGACTTACAATAAGTGCATTCGACCAAGAAGATACAAACTTGAAGAAAACAGAATCATATAAGTACATCAGGTTTCATAGAGCCAAAACATTTCAAGTGCTACTCAACTGGCTTCAGGTAAGCCAGTCCTTTGTTAGTACATAAGTGCTTGTTAGTAATTCTATCGCTCGAAGTAGAGTCGAAAGAGATGAGTTTTCAGTCTGCGCCGGAAGATGTGTAAGCTTTCTGCTGTCCTGATGTCAATGGGGAGCTCATTCCACCATTTTGGAGCCAGGATAGCAAATCGACGTGTTTTTGCTGATGGGAACTTGGGTCCCCCTCGCAGTGCGGGTGCAGCGAGCCGTTTGGCTGATGCAGAGCGGAGTGCGCGTGCTGGGGTGTATGGTTTAACCATGTCTTGGATGTAGGAAGGGCCAGATCCATTCACAGCATGGTACGCAAGTACCATTGTCTTGAAGTGGATTCTAGCAGTTACTGGAAGCCAGTGAAGGGAGCGGAGGAGCGGTGTGGTGTGGGAAAAAAAACACAAAAAAAGAGTGAAATGTGTGTGTTTCTATGTTGTAACATTTTATAACGTGAGAGGAACAGTTTCTTCCCCTCCGCTACCGGCCTCTTAAACAAGGCCCGGCCCCCCCCCACTGACACTTACCTCAGCCACAACGTAGTCTCTATATGCATTACATTAATGCACACAATGTTCATACTGCTTACTGCACATATTTCTTGTTTCATATTTTATATTTTATATCCTATAATTCATTCATAGCATTCTATTTCCATGTAAATTACTGCTTTATTTTATTGCTATTTAACTATATTTTATTGCGGTGTCCTTAAAGATTTTTTGTTTTATATTAGATTTCTTGTTTTATATTTGATGTCTGCACCATGACATCAAGTCAAATTCCTCGTATGTGTGAACCTACCTGGCAATAAACCTGTTTCTGATTCTGAGGTGATAAGAAGAATAGACTTTATTAATACCAACTGGGGGAATTCAGTTTTCACTCTGTTAGTATACAGTACACCTGAAATACCCACATGCAATAAACTTGACATAAGATTTACACAAAGCACAAACGTGACCTATACATAATAGCCAGGAATACGAACATGCACCAACACATGCATTTTATGTAGAAGTGTCAGAACAAAGGGGCTGCCATGTTTCAGTGCCCAGTTATGGGTTCGGTGTTTTGCTTAAGGACACTTTGGCAGAGCAAAAGAGGTCTACTGTAACCTCTCCTGCTACCAGTCCATACAATGTGTTTAGCTAAACAAAGGATTCTCAAAGATAAGCTGTCACAATTCATCTCATCAGACTATAGTGCAACTTCCAGCTAAATCTGTTTGTGGTTATTCATTCATTACTTAACACAAAAAGTCAACTCAGTGTGCAAATTTGCTGCAATTACTGTGATTTCTGACATGAGCTAATCCGCTCTTCGGCTCGTTTGGTTAATATGTGATGTTAGATATGATGCACTTCTTAGTGCGTTAATGTGCACAGTGGTGGTGAGTCACCAGCAGGATTCATTCAGTATTACCTGGATTGCTTTGCTCTCTGCTGGCGGACAGCAACTGTGTTTGTGTACCTGAGAGGAGTAAATAAATGAAGAGGCGTCACTCTGCTGCTGTTTCCCCGGAACCATAAACACCACTGAAGTCTGTTATAACTTCGTCATCTATGTAAACCAATGGTGGAAGTACATTTACTCACTATACTTAAAGATACGTTAAACTACTTTAGAGACATTGCTGTTTTACTTCTCAGAAGTATTTGATGGCACTTTGAACACCAAAAGCTGAGTGTCATCTAGTTCCGTTACATTGGAGAGAAGGCAGACATGTTTACGGCTGATATCGCCAACACCCTGCAACAAACACCAAAACATCTTGACATTGAAATAGCATTACATGTAACGGGAAATATATTTATTTTAGATTTTGAGGTGAACTGTGCCTTTAACACTGAATATGAATTGCATTTTTGAGCTTTCAACTGAATTTCAAGGAGCTTCAGATTAACGTAACCCTCAGTCTTAAGTCCCCTACTAAGGAAGACCATAAGATGCAGTTAAAAGCTCTGAAAAAAATTGTAAGAGCTGCCAGTAATTTTTTTGAGCCATTTTAGTGCAATGTGGACAGGTATTAAGAATATCAACGGTAAATGATTCACTTTGTTACATACCTTCAAGTTCAGAACGTTTTTTATAAATGTTTTCATTTTGAAAGAAATAACAAATCAAAGTTTTAGTTGCATTACTGTGAAGATGAAACTTAATCAATCTTCACGCCTTGGCTGTGAATTTTCACACAGATCTCACTGTCCTTTTTTTCTCGTATTCAAATGATCTTCACATTACTGCAGCCAAACGGAGTTAGATTTCCTAAAACAACTGACTTTTACAACAACAGTTTAAAATAGATAAATGCAAGTGGACTGATATTGGAGGAATTTGTTGAATTGTTCTTTTAAATTAACGTTTTAGGTTTTTCAATTAAGAGCAACCTCGCATGGTTATCGAGTTTGACTCAGAAAGCATTCCTGAGAAACAGGATACTGACAGTAATGTACATGCTGCACATTTTACAACATGGGTGCCTATTTATAGTGCACAGGGTACATGAGGTCAGTTAGGGTATACCAAGCATGTATGCTAGTTGTATAGACATGGACGCAAAGCATTATTTACATTGTAAATACGTATTAGCATTTTGATTGTTTTTTGTTCAACATTGAACATTTAACAGGACATGCTTTGATTTAATGTTTTAGTTCAAATGTGTAAAGTTGCCTTTTTACCAAACACACGCTGGCAGTATACAAGCACAATCCTTAAAAGACAGTAGCATAACTGTTATCAGACTTTAATCACAGTGCAAATTAAAGTGGTGCAAGGTAAAAACAACTGTGTAGTAGAAAAACACAGCATGTTGCTTTCAAAGTGGATAAAAGGAGCCCTATTATGCTCAGGTTCAGGCTCATATTTGTATTTTGTTCCTCTACTGTGACATGTTTCCACGCCTAATGTTCAAAAAGGTCTTTAATTTTCTCATACTGGCAGCAGCTTTTTTCACCCTCTGCCCCTAATCATATCACTTACAATGTGTTAGAGCGCTAGCCAATTGGACTCACTCTGGATAATTTACATGCATACAAACACACACTACTATAGGAAAGGAAAAAACCCAAAGAGCATAATACAGCCCCTTTAGGTTTGCAGATTAAGTCAAGTTTTCTCTGAATATTGTTGCACATTTTAATTTTGTAACACAGTGATTCACACTAATTGTTATGTACAGTGACTGACTTTCTTAGTCGTCAATAAATGTTCCAGTTTGAGAAGCCTCAGAGGCTTGAGTTGTTTTTTTGCAGCGTGCTGGTTTTGGCTGCACTGCACATTAAGTAAACAGAATGCAGACATACGGGGTAATGGCACGGCAGTGTTACAATTATAGGCAACAGATGGAACATGCATACCAACCTCCAGACATTTAATCAGCTGAAGGAGAAAGCTTGTATACAGAGTAAAAATAGTTGTGGATAATCATCCATTTATCTTGAGCTCAGCAGAGACATATCTAGCATTTTTGATGTAGCTGCATTAAAGTTATAATTATTGTGCGTATATTCAGCACAATGTCAATAAGTTCATCAAAAAAATCTTTACTCACGCTGCCACATCTGCAGGAAATATCCCATCTCTCTATGTTTTGTTGTGTTGTGAAATAAATATATCATGGTTAGACGCATTTCACTTTTTGATGATATTTTCTGTAGATTAGGCTATATCTCCTCTATTATGTCTGTTTTGTTATTTTCAATTCATTTATCAAATATAGCATTTTGGTAATGAATTCTTTGAAATCTAGTAAGAAAAAACACAAAAACAACAATATACTGTGGTCTCAAATATATTACTGAGGACATGACCTCAGGTTGGCATGTCTCTAAAAAGCTTTACTTGGTCCATCTTTTCTTTAGACGATCTTTGTTTCGCAATTTCATTTGGTTGGTGCATGCGCACCCGCAACCTCTGCTCCCCCCTGCGTTGGATGAGCGCTGACAGCAGGCTGGCCAGAGACCGTCAGCAGCCGCTGTTGTTGCCGCTTCCACTCCACGTTGTGAGACCGGATACAAACTGACACAAGTACGGGAATTCATTTCTGTAACGGGCAACAAAAAGTGTTTTCTGAAAGCTTTTGGACACAGTGAGCGCCGAGCCTACTCCTCCTCCTCCTCCTCCTATTCCCGGTGCTGAGCGGACTGTCAGTGAAGGTAAGTGTCCGCTTTTTGTGACAGTTTACGGTGCGGAGGGAGAGAGGGATGAACCGGTGTGCTGCTGCCGTGTTGTTGACCGTCCCGCACGGCTCGGTTAACTTCAGCCTCCATGTGTGTTAGCTCTATTCGCGTGTTTAAATGTGTGGTTTTACTGAAGTCCACTCTTGTTAAGGATATGAACAAAAAAAGGCAAGTTTTCAAAGGGCTGCATCTCGACCGTGCACCCCGCGTGGAGCTGACCGTCCTGCACGCGGCTTTTTAACATTTAAAGAAATACCTTACCGATTAGATATACTGTATTGATTGCAAATTGGGGATTTATTTCCGTCACAGCAGCATGCAGATAAGACATTGCACATTAATTAAAAGTGAAATAATAATAATGATAATAACATAAAATACAATACAAAATAGTAAAGATATATCAGCAGAAACAAAACAGGTGAACAAAACCGTGAGTAGTCGATAATGAAAGATATATCTATACAGTATATCTATTGAATACACAAAATAAATATACAATTATACAGGATTGTACATTATGACCACAACATCACAAAATATGCAATTACAGGTAGCCCAACAGACTATCCAAATTAATTTCCCACAGTTGTTATGTTAAGTGCACTTGATTGTTTGATCAGGTTTCATAATTGGACTTTGTGCAAACATATTTCATAACATGTTTTCATGCTTTAAAGGTAGGGTAGGTAATTTTGGAGAAACCAGCTCGAGTGCGCTAGAATTTGAAAATACACAACCGGAAAAAATATGCCACTTCCTTACAGAGCCCCTCCTCCAACACCAGTGGCGAGCCGTCAGGGCCCTCTAGGCCCTCTGTGAGGGCCTAAGATATTCCAAAAAAAAATATTTAAAAACATTAAAAAAATATATATATTTTTTAAATATATATTTTTTTAATATTATTTTTGTTATATTTTTCATTAGTTTTACCGAAAAAAAACTTGATTTAATAAAATAACATTTCCAAATAAATAAATCCTTCGAATCTGCCTGTTCAGTCTCTGTTTGAATGTGCAGGGTTACATGAAAGAAGCTCGTCTGGCCCTCTCTGCGATTCACAGAGGGCCCGCTATAGTAACTGAACGAGAGAGTAATGTCAAATGACAGTACAATTGACCAATCATATCTTCCCTCTAAATGGGTGGGTTTTATTATCGCGGACTAGATGACAAGTTCCGCCCGCTGTGAAACTTTTCTTGTTTCCATAGCAACAACAACTTCCTGTCAACAGCGTGAACTCGCCTTCAAAATAAAACCATGCCAAATTACACTTAAGACATACAACTGCAACGAAAGTAACAAACACAATGCAATATCATTTTCAATGTCAAAGAACACAAATTGGGTTCACAGGTGTTGTTTTGTGTGGTAGAGGGTCGCTGTCATTGATGCGTTTTGCACCCTGGGCCGTTGTTTTGATATTCCGCTGAAGTATACGCTGTGACGTAATAACTCTTTTTTTTTTCTTTTTTTCGAGGGAAGGGGTGGGGGTCAGAGGGCCTAGGTATAAAGCTCACGGCTCGCCACTGTCCAACACACACGAACGCGCACATGACCAATGAGGGCACGAGATAAGTTTGTGCACAGATGGAAAGCTGACAAGCAGGTAGGCCATCCAGTTATTTTAGCTGGGCCGGCTCAAATGATTGGTCCTGCTTTTTACAGTACTACGGCTTCCACAGATGACATTTTTTTATGGATTTTTTGTCAAAGCACTTAAGATATTCATTGCTATCGGTATGTTAAGAGCATTCCATGGAATAGAACAAAAAGTGTATCTCGAGCCGGTTTCTCAAATTTACCTAACCCACCTTTAATGTTTCAAAAGTGCTTTATCTAGTATGCTCTGATTGGTTGGCTGGCTGGCTCTGTTGTGATAGTCAACTGATTAGAGATGTCCCACCACTTAGCCTATCACGTACAATTTGTTGGAGCACTAACCAATATAAGCACCTGTGTTACATAGTGATGTCATTATGTAGCAATAGTAAACAAAGGAGTCCAATGGATGGGAGAGAAACTCCCTCTGGAGGAAACATAGGGATTTTAGCCTGTAACTATTATCATGCACAAAGACCTATATAACACACTACAGGAAAGGGAAACCACAAAAAAACAACCAATCAGCAGTCAGTAATTGTTCTCTGACTGTACGAGACTGAACCTGGTTGCTGTAACTGTGAGGAGTTGCTTTCTCTGTAATAGGATTTGTACAGCTGTGTAAATCTCATTCACACTCTGCCATTTTTTGTGGCCACTTTTATTTTTTATTTCTTTTGATGTTTTTCACAGATGTGAATGGAAACCATGTTATTTTCTCGGCCCTGGCTTGTATTAAAATAGTCCAAAATGATACTGCTATATCATCTACTTATATTTCAGTTCGGATGCTTTTTACTTTTTACATGAAGATTAAATGAAAGCAACTCTCAAGACGGTTGGTTCGTTGACAAAAAGGCAGCATGGTCCAAGAGAGATTGTCCCATAACATAATGTGTCCCCTGGTGTAGTGTCATCAAGACCCTCCCACGGTCCCACCCCCATCTGCTTAATGAGTGAAAGTATGTCATATTTTGAACCTCATAAACACTGAACAGTCCAACCTCCAGTGGGAGCCCGGTGTGCTCGGTAAGCAGTCCTAGCCCCCAGATCCCGGAGCAGGTGGCTCCTCTGAGGCCGAGGAATGTAAATAGAAATGGTAACCAGAGCCTAATGTTCGTCGGCGGGTAGCCTCCGGACCGGCTTTAGCTAAAAGTGTTGACGAGGATGCAGAAGCAGCACTTGGTAATAAGGATCAAGTGTGTGTGTGACATTTTCTTTTCAATTAGAGTTGTCCTGTCCGGTGTGTAAGGAATACACCAATGTTTTCTTAATAGTAAATCCTCAGCAAAGATGCTGACAGAGGGTAGTACCAACGTGTTGAAGCTCAAAGTCAGATGAAGCTGCACAACCCTTTCTGTTGATTAAGTTGATCAAAGTAGCTAAATGAGCCGACTTATTACCATCTGGAACATTAGCTACTTTAAGCTTAACGCGAAGCCTTGTGACCGTGATAGTTTGTTTATAGCCTAACGTTGGCTTCTTACTTCTGCCGGTTGTATCTGAAGCTTTACAGGTTTTCAAAAGGCAATTTCTTAAACGTTTGTTTTCCAAAGATTGTAATGTACAGAAAATACTTGTCTGCAATATTTGCAAATCCTATTAAAAAAAATCCCATTGCATTTTGCCAAGGGAGCCCTGTGTAGTTGCAATATAATAATTGAATTGATCGAAATGTTGACATGCCTTGTCTTTTTATGATTGCATCATTTGTTTGTATTCATAATTGTTAACGTTTTGTGCATCAAGTTCGAAACGTTACGTTAAGTGACGTATGACGGATTATATGCTTTTGTACATTTCTGGAGATTTTATTGTGTCGTAGATAGGGGACAGGAATTCAACCCCTATAAACATTGTGGCATTGATTACTGATGCCGATGGGAAATATGAGATAGCATTTGATGTCCAGAGCAGGTAATTGTAATTCCGATAACTGCAGCACCAGAACAAATACTTGATGATTAATCTATTTGTCAGTAGACAGAAAATGACTCAACAGTTATTTGGATCATTTTAAATTGTAGGATGACATGTTCCCCAGCTGTGAGGTTGGAAACCAATAACAGATGGACGATGAAAACTTAATTTCATCACCATGATAATATGATCTTGCATGTGGTACATAATAACACTTTATAAAACAGACAAGTCAAATCAAGCAATCTGATTGGTTCTTAGCCGTGATATACTGAGCGTATACCACGGGTAGAATTGTAAGTTACTTTTCACAACAAGTCAGTATCCCTCCGCGTCTGAGAAAAACTGTATACAGTTGGGCTGAAAAGCAAATGCTTTTCAAACTGGAACAAGAAAGCAGCGGAGAAGTAACTTGGGCAGAAACCCTCCTTTTTACGCAACGGTCCAGACATAGACATCAAACGGCAAAAACATATTCAGTGTGCAGTTCCTTTGGCATTAGGGCAGGGATATTTAGATACTTTCCAAGGTTTGACATAATGAGTTGTGCTACTTTTAAAGCAAGCAACGATGTTTTCAAATCTGTAATCAAAAAGGTCCGCAAAAACGCTATCGACCAATCAGATTGCTTGATTTGACTTGTCCGTTTTATAAATATATTTACATTTCTTCCGTTACGAAACAAACTTACAAAGCATAAGATGGAAACATTTAAGATTAACTTAACTCCGGGGGGGTCTTACTATGGAGGAGTGGATTGAGGAGTGCCTATCTCCAGAAAAAAAAAGCACCTAAAAACGACGACATGCAGAGCTACGTGAAGAGCAGGTAGACCAAATGGAAAGGTACCACCATTCAAAAGCTTTCTGATGCGGGTCTTGAAACAAAGCAGAGAAATTATGACCGTTAGTGGCCACAGGTGCGAAAGCTCTCTCCAGAGCTACTGGAAGCCGAATCTCGGGGACCGGAGAAAGTGGAGCAATATTCTCGCCACGCCAAGCAACAACCTAGAACAACCTCAACCTATACAAGTAACCTCGTAAGCCATTCTACTGATGCTGGACAGTTTTTCAGTGGGTGCACAATAAACGGCAACATACACATCAATGTAAATAAATAGCCAAATAATGGATCAACGCTCTCTGTCTAATATGTTCGCTAGCTGTTAGTGTTGTTGCATAGAAACCACCTCGCACTATGTTTCGTGCAGAAGGCAACGGAGGGACTATTTTATATTGAACATCATTATTTACTAATAAAAACTATTTAAATTAGAGTGTGTATTTTTCTTTCATATTGCCACACTTGGTAACCGTTTTATAAAAGCAATAGCTCACTTCAGGCCGTGATATATGCTCATTATATCACAGCTAAGGGGCGTGGTTCGGCCCGACGCGAAGCCTGTCGTGAGCTATTGCTTAATTATATCGGTTTACATACCTTTTTTTTAGTAT